TATGTTGCATTGGTTGGTGACACTTTTTCTCAAGGAAGAGCTCTGCAAAAGATAAGGATTTCCAAAAGTCAGCTATGGAGGAAGACATCACATATATCACATACATCACATTCTTCCTTTCCTATTACAGCTTTCATTTCTCCAGCTATCCTGCAATGTCTGGTACGAATGTGTTGTAGACCAATGGTACCAGTTGGAGAAGTGTAAAAAGTATAACTTTTCCACTTAAGGTCAATTTTTCTGTCACTTTACAGCTGACTTTGGATTGCACAATGAAATTGAGCCTTTTGGGGAGTGTGTGGGGGTACAGGATAAATAATAAATGAGTAAAATAAATACATAAGCAATCCTAGACACAGAGATTAGTACTGAGTTTTCTGTTCTTCTAGCACTTTAACTACCAAGACATGTAAATCATCTTTAAATTAGGAGTGTCTTTGTGAAGATCCCCTGGGAACAGAAACTTGTTTGGCTTGGTCATAGGTTCCTGAGAACTTCAAAGTTTATCAGAAGCATTTATTAAAGGCAAAGCATGCAACAGATCATACGTGCAAATTTAAGATACATGACCCATATTTGAATTCTCATATCACTTCTATAATAATATATTATTAAGATTTGAGAGTGCAGGTCAGTTATTGGGTTCTAAAATTTATGTCACTGTTCCTGGCTGCAGGAATTGAAGTATTTGTCCTGGATTCAGTAGTGGCAGCCATTTTTCTCGTTTTTGGTGGCTGGTGCAGTGCTGTGGTTTTGACTTTCAGCCTGGGAACAATGCTGATAACACCAATGTTTTTAGTTGTTGCTAAGTAATGTTTACTCTGATCAAGGACTTTCTCAGTCTCAAGCTCTGCCAGGGAGGAGGGGAAGCTGGGAGGAAGCAGAGAAAGGACACCTAACCCAAACTGGCCAAAGGGTTATTCCATACCACAACACGTTATGCCCAGTATATAAACTGGGGGAGTTACCTGGAAGGCCCAGATGGCTGCCCGCGTTGGACTGGGTATCGGTCAGCGGGTGGTGAGCAATTGTATTCTCTTCCCTTATTTCCCTTATCATTATTGTTAGTGGTGGTAGCAGTAGTAGTTTCGTATTATACCTTCATTACTGGACTGCTCTTATCTCAACCCATGGGAGCTACATTCTTTCAATTCTCATCCTTATCCCTCTATGAGTGGTGGAGGAAAAAGCAGGGGGGATTGAGTGAGTGGCTGTGTGTTTCTGACTTACTGGTTGAGCTTAAACCATGACATACCCAAAAGAAAAAAAAAACAAATAAAGAATAAAGCAAACCCGCCTGGGAACAATGCTGATAACACCAATGTTTTTAGTTGTTGCTAAGTAATGTTTACTCTGATCAAGGACTTTCTCAGTCTCAAGCTCTGCCAGGGAGGAGGGGAAGCTGGGAGGAAGCAGAGAAAGGACACCTAACCCAAACTGGCCAAAGGGTTATTCCATACCACAACACGTTATGCCCAGTATATAAACTGGGGGAGTTACCTGGAAGGCCCAGATGGCTGCCCGCGTTGGACTGGGTATCGGTCAGCGGGTGGTGAGCAATTGTATTCTCTTCCCTTATTTCCCTTATCATTATTGTTAGTGGTGGTAGCAGTAGTAGTTTCGTATTATACCTTAGTTACTGGACTGTTCTTATCTCAGCCCATGTGAGTTACATTCTTTTTATTCACTTCCCCATCCCTCCGGAAGTGAGGGGAGAAAGAAGAGCAGGAGTGAACGAACATCTGCATGGTTCTGAGTTACTACCTGGACTTAAACCATGACAGTATTTTATTTTTAATTAAAGAAATAGCTCAAGGTTTGATTTAAAACATCACATAATTCAAGGAGGTTCTCAAATAAATTGGCCTAACCTTTTCTAGCTTCACCAACCCTTCCTATTCCTCAATACTTCTCTATATTCTAAGGGGTATGCAGCTTCTCTTCTCTGTGCTGAACAGCCTCAATGTTCTCAGCCTGTCTCCATACGGGAGGTGCTCCAGCCCCTGCTCATCCTCATGGCCTCCTCTGGCCTTGCTCCAACAGGTCTGTGTCCTTCTTATGTTTAGGACACCAGAACTGGACACAGTGTTCCAAAGGAGGGTCTCAGACTATGAGTTTAAAACAAAAAAGACCTAGCAAAATTTTCAGAGCTGTCTACAGCCTTCCTTGAAAATAATTACAGTAATTATTGTTCTAACTCCAACCAATTTATTGTACAGGCAGAACGAATTAATGGCGTGATCTTTGAGATGAATTCAAGTAAGTGAATCAGAAGTTCACAGGGTTTTTTGTATGTTCAAGGGCAGACCTATATATTCAGATCATAATTACAATTCTTTGCATAATGTGAGAACATTCTCCTGAGACAACAGTGAGTGACTAACTGTCTGAACAAAAAAAAATTAATCAGAATGGAACTGGAAGCTTACTCACAGTAATCGCCTTATAATGGTTCCAGACACAAAAGTGACCCCAAATGTGTGCATGGAGGAAAAGACACACAGAAAATGGACATTTCCCTGGAAATAAGAGCACCATCTGCAATCAATTTTTAGTTGTAATTAGTTAGCTCAGGTAAAGAAATTGACGCCTCAGAGGCTTTGAGAAGTTGAACTAATCTGAAAAAGTTCTTGCAACTCAGAGCTTTCCTTTCTCTCACCATTCACAATGGTTCTGATAGTTCTTGCTTTTATCTCAAACCTTATTCTTAGCTAATTGTTTCAATACAGATGCTTATTGACAACATTAGGAGCAGTCTGCATGTCCTACACACCATTCGGAGTGCACAGAATAATCTAGGGCACCTGCTTCTAGGTGACTGAGGGTGAACTCTGCTTAATGCTCGCATGGTATTAGCAATTTTTGACTTATTGCTTAAAACAGAAGATGTATCTATAGCGTAAGGTTGTTCAACTCAGTCAGACTGGATGTCTCTGCCTGGCACTGCTTTTTATTGCAACCCACCACTCATTATTTGCTATAATTTGTTATTTAGCCCAGGCAGATGAGTGGCTCCTGCTGTATGTGTAATCTCAGATGCCTTTTGGTGTAGGCAAAGCCTGCGATTTGAGCTTTGCAGCTTCAGCTTCTGCTGCTCACAGTTTCCCTCAAGGCAAAGGTTTTCAAATATAGGTAGGTATGTAGTCCTTGAGTTCATACCTTAACATATCTATTTTCATTGTTAATGTTATTCAAATACTGCTATGAACAACTTTTAAATGACTAAACTTTGAGGTTTGGTTTTGCGTCTGTGGTCTGATAAACTTCAATAATTTATGTTACAATTTCCCTTTTTGACAAAAAAAAAAAACCTACTGCATACAGATCTGTGGGGTAATTCTGCAAAGAGCCAGCTGTAGCATGGTCATTAGGGACATTCAATAGGAACAGTAAAAGAAAGCAACAACAAAAATTAATTTACCCTGAAGGGAAGAAATTTACTCACCAGAACCACTGCAAAACACCACACCCCAAATGGGTTGCCTTTACTTATTATTCAAATATGTTTTAAATGGAGATTTTAATTATATTTCAGATCGTAAGAGTGCAATCAGTATTTCTCTACCCATGGCCCTATGTGTCAGATCCACCTTCCTTGAAGAACAGTGTCTTGGTGCCACCCAGACTGATGAATGCGTGCTTGTAATCCATCACCTCAGAGCAAGGGATTGCCAATAACTACTAGTATAAATCCTTTTCACCAGGCATTGTCTCTGCCAGGCATTACATGAGGTATCACTCAGGTGCATTTTGCTGTAATTAGATGCCAGGTACCTCATTCTACATTTACTTCCATTAGTCATTTAGGAAGGAAAAGATCACAGACGTCTTATTTGGAGCTGGAGACCCAGGACTAACACGCATCCTTTTAAAGACTTTCTATGCAGTAAGAAATTAAAGGTTTTCATGCTCAAAACACACTTTGAAATTAGACTTTCACATGGGGTGAAAATTCAACCTGTCATTTACCCCACAGATACCTAAAACCAGTCAGTGTACACAAGTACCTCTGTCAATCTAACTGTTTCAGCACCAGTCCATGAAGACCCACAGAGGCACCAGCAGTTCAATTTACAACATGAGTTACAAATCTACATTTGAGTAGCCTTAGATAGGTTGGCATTAGTTATAGAAGATACTCAATATGATTTGCAGGCGGAGCAGGTCTCCTCTGAGAGCATTCCCCTCCAAACCCCCAGTTTTGGGTCCCACTTGGCTCAGAAATGCTTTCAAATGCACGAAAGAAATTTGGTAACAAGCACTTCAAGTGCCTGGTCTTACCCTCATGATGAAAGCCAGAGCTGGGGAAGGAAAAGTAGCAAAGTGGTATGTTTACACAAAGTAGATACAATATCAATACATAGTATCCACTTTGCTACAATGTGACTAATTTGTTTTCTCAAACAGCCTGTATTTTGTTGCAAAGTATGGACCTCGTATACACAATATTCCCCAAGTTTTCTGGCTGTAAATTGATCTCTTAGCAGAGAGGTCATCAGCTAAAAATACTTAACTCTAGTCAACATGGAAAAGTAGCTTTTGATTAATAAAACAGAGGAACAGTGAGAAATCTTACCAAAACAGAGCTGCTGAGAGTTTATCAAACAAACACCAGGAGACTTGAATAGTGATGCAGCATAACTTTAATGAGGGCAAAAAGCAGAATAAAAAAGTACCAAGTATATATTTCTAGGATTCAGTAAGACAACAGCTAATGTGTTTCATCCCAGGTTACTTTTCTCAGTGCTGCTGTGAAATGAGACAATAAAGTCTCATTTACAGCAATAGAAAAAATAATATTTCATCAGAAGTATGAAGTATTCCAAGAATAAGACAAGCAAAGGCCTGATTTTAGAAGCTTCCATGGCTCCATTAACTTCAGGTGGAATTGTGGGTGTCTAACATCACATCACATCTGAAAACCATGGCCATGAGCTCAGTCCTGTGTTGTGTCGTGCTTCAGCATTCCTGGTCATTTCTTTCCACTTTCTCCCCACACTTTAGCATGGCTCACTAAAGTCACTGCGGTAGGTGTTGTAGCGACAGTAAGGCCGGCTGTACCCACTGACCAGGCCTGGATAGCCAAAGCTCCCTAATCCCAAGGAGCTGCCAGAGGAGATGGGCACTCCCTCAGCACTGAGGGCACTTCCAACAGCTGCAGATGCTGAGGATCCCACAGTGGTGTTCTGGGGGAAGGAGCTGAGGATGGGTCCAGGCAGAGTCACCACCACAGGAGGGGGTTGGATCACATACGTGGAGTCCTGGCACTGCCTGACACAGGGTTCATTGCAGCTATTTGCCAGCGGGGTTGGGCCACAGGGGGTGGGAGGACACAGGTCAGAGCAGGACATGGCTGTAGGACAGAGAGAAGTTTGAAATACAGGGAAGAAAGTAAATGTAATAAAATCCTATATTAAATTTATAGAAGTCAGTCAGGAGCATAATGTCTATGAAAGTACCTAGAGAAGGTGGTCAGAAAGGTGATCACTTATCAGCTCAAAGTCCACGGTAGACAGGATAGCATAGAAGTTTCTCTAAATTTTATAAGGCTACTGGAACATACCTCTGCTCTGTGCTGGCCTCTAAATTGTGGTGCCAGTTATGACAAAATTTACCCTAAGCCTTACCAGCAATGACATCTCTTGTTCTTTGGTAGTTTCCTTTTGCACTATCTCTCTGAAGTACGATTGCAACTGTACCAGGAGATGGAGAAGAGCAGCTGGAGCTCTCAGCAGGCAAGGAAAGTGACCCCAAGCTGAACACTGACACATAACTGGGTTTAGTGCCTTAATGCTAGAACTTAGCTGCTAACAGCCCAGCCAGCACTGTTTGCAGAGCTGCAGAGCAGTGTTTGAGAAGTATCCTTTGCTCCCAAATGTCCAAAAGTATGACCACAAAAGGCAAACTTGGAGAGTGCAGAAGCATTGTTTTCTTGATCAGAGGTTTCTGCCTTGATTTGAATTCAATGTATTTGAGTCTGCTGGGATCCCTGCTCTTCTGCCTGTGGAAAACAGGACTTAGGGATAGATCTTTGGACTCAACATGATTTTATGATTTTGCTAGTGCCAGTTTCTTAAGATGAGATTGTAATTCCAGGTTCATTGGCTAACTACTCCTTTAGCTCTGGTCTCTAAAATGGAGTATGAACCTGCTTGTTTTGATAGACAACAATGCCAGTATTCTCTAAGCCCTGTCTCCTTACACCCTACTTCACAAGTAAATAAGACCCTGGTTTTGATAGAACTAAGGCTTTCTAATTTTCCTTCCCAAAAGGAAAAAAAAAAAAATGCTAACAATATTTATAAAGAACTAAGAATAACAACAACAAAAAAAGCAGTCATCAAAGTAACAGTTTAGCATTTAAAAAGACACTGAATAGATTCAGACTTACCTGTTCACCTGGGTGAATAAGGCAAGAGATGTGGATGGAAAAGTCTTGTGTTGTACAGACTTTTATACCATGTTCCAGACTGCCAGCAGACCAGAGACATAAATCATGCATGAAATTATTTCATGATTTTGCATGCAAAATCCACCAAACTGACCAACCTTCTTTTTTTTTTTTTTTTCTGACTTTCAGAATCTCTTTCACTATTGTTCTATTTTTTCCCCTTCACCTTATTACATTCACATTCCAGTAGAGACAAAGCTTTCATCTTCACCAATGGGCACCCACTGAATTGCTTGGAAGACTGTGGTGACTCATTTGAATTATAGCAGTAATTATGTCACCTCCTAAGGCCAATGTAAATTTTATGCTTCATTTTAGTCATCAAGACACTGCTTAAGGGGAGTGTATGTGAGGCATAGTCCTTACTCAAGACTTCACTCCTTTAGGTGAATAACCATTTAGGACCAAGGTGGGGGCTTGGGCTCAGGCATTTCCATTTCAAGGACTCAGCTTTACCACAAGACAAGATGTAGAATAGATACTCCCAAATTTTGCACTTCTGCACTGTTTCAATCCCACACATACAGCTGAGATGAACATTGCAAAGGTTAAAGAAAATTAAGACTGGTGAGAATTGCTCATCAGAGACAACAAAACACATTCTAGAGCTGCTTGGACTAACCCACAGTTCTCCGTACAAACCAAGTGTATGTGTAAATACAGCTAATACACATACAAGACTGCATTTCCCTACCCAATCATAAATTAAACTTCATTTTCCATGCTAAACTCAACCACACTTTCAATGAAAGAGCTTGATTATTTGATTTTATTACTTTGTGACATTTATTAACTGCCTCTAATTCTCAATATTATTTCTGTGCAGTCTCTCATCTGAGGAATCACCATTATTCCTACCTGAAATCACACTAAGTTGCTGGGATGTGCAGCACTTTTCACATCAAACTAAACACAAATGTGGATGTCAAAGATTGCTTTCAAGTATTGGTTCTTAGAGCCAGGGTTCTGCCCGAGCCAAACAATGGCATCAGGAGAAGTTACACCCACCAGTTCTCCATTACATTAATCATTACATGATTCTTTTACCTCTGCAGCCTGCAGTGGCCTGCCCTGGCTGTGCTCCAATCTGCTGGAAACACTGGCAGAGATGGAAAGGATGCAAAAAGCAGGGATGAAGTCTCTCCTCTAAGCACCACTGTCCCTCAGAGAGAGAAATGAATTAATTCTAAATCAAGAGTGGTTTTGTTCATGGGTTGGTCTTGGTCTTCAGAAGAAAAAGGACTTCAAAGTCAGAAGAGCTTTTCACTAATGACTCAAATATGCAAAGTTTCATGTTACCTGATGTTCAAGGTACGTGACGAGATCTCCGCACTCGCATCACCTGGCTAATAACCCAATTTCAAAGTGTGTGAGTCAAGATCTCTCAAAGAGCTTTACAAAGTAATTCAAGGGAAACACTTCAGAAACTTTAATGATTTTATTAAAAGTTTCCCTAAATAATTTAAAAAAAAAAAAGTGCCAAATCTTCATCTTCTATAAAATGCTATACAAGGATTTTAAGAAAGGATTTTTTTAAAGAAAAAAGTCTATGTATTTTAATGATTCTCCACAAGAAAATTCTCCTCTCTTTTTCTATATAAGAAGGAGAGAGTCTTTTTCTTCCCTTTCCTCAAAATCTCTACTATCCAACGTTACATGGAGTCTTCTTAAAAAATTATTTCCTTATAGTTCCTCATCCTATACAGGTGAAAACTATCACTTACCTGGAGAATTCATTCCCCTTTCGTCTGTAAAATGGGATAGCCAAAGAATGCCAAGGTTTCCTCATTCTCACCTCTAGGGACATAAACAGTGTTTCTTGGAGGGTATATAATATTTTAGAAACATTAACAGCCTGTAAATGTTTCCATTGATATTCTTCCAGTTCAGTCTAGATTTCACCCAAAAGGTTGAAAGCCTTTGGATCTTGTTCTTTGGGGTTAAGGCTGGTGAACAAGGCTACCTCTCACTTATGGATCAGTGATGGAGTTTCACATTCCACACACTCAATTACAACCCTTTGTGTAATGACAGAGAGCTCCCTGACAGTCTAGTGGACTACCAAGTTGTCAAAGAGCTGACAAATTACTTAAATTAATCAAAATTTGTAGCACCTTTATGTCAACTTCAGAGGCCTGAGTGTAATAGAACAAGGCATTCAAATGATCGACAGATCTCCGAGATGAAAGAAGCTTTGAGGAAGGCTTTTCATTAGAAGCCAGGATGAGGCTAGACTGGTACATAAACCATAAGCAATCTAACTACTGGGGACAATGTACTAGCTGCCACAGATTTTATGAGTGGAATTATTACAGTGCCAACATGAGGATCTCTTCCATTTCCTCCCCAAATCTACTGGTTTAGTAGCTTCAGTAGCTGTTACAAGTTTCATTTAAATCTCAGCTCTGTCCTTCAGCAAAAACAACTTACTTATGAGGATTACTAAAGGTTTTAACGCCTGCATGTCCTATATTTATTCTGTGTTAGCATGCTTCATTCCTTGACATGAGCTCATGTTGGAATTCTGTAGGGCAGCAGTCAGGACACTAAAGACAACTTGACTCGTATCAGGAACCCTAAAAGGCACAGTACTTACGCAGTAAATGGCAAGTAAACAGATCAAATATTGTTGCTGAAGATGCTATGTGTATCCCTCCTTTTAGACTTCTGCTGTTTTACTTCAGCAGAAGTCATGTTTTCATGTTTTACTTCACAAATCCAAACATTCAAGCGGTGATTTGGTGGTAAAAGAATGTAAATCTTTCTTTGTACCCTGCAGCTCCTCATCAGAGTAATTGAGAGTGTGTATCACAAGATTCCTTAAAACAAACATCATTATATGCAGGATTAGATACCCTGCCATTGTGCTAGATCATAAAACACTTCCAGCCTTGAGAATAATTTCTTGGCAGAGATGCAGAAAGCCAAGTAATATGATGAGTCAGTGTGGAATCAATATGCAATTCAGATGCTAAATTCAATATTTTCTTGATCTGGAGCTCTAAACATATGTTCTTCTCTCATTAATGGCCCCAGTATTACTCATATCATGTCTCTGCCTAGAGATGATCTAAGCAGTGAAGAATTTCACCCAGAAAAAGCCTCAAAAGAAGGTAGGTGGGGAAACAAAATATAACAGAAGACCAGAGATATGATAAAAGCATAACTTTAATAACACTAAAGAGTGAACTGAAAAGCAACAGGTTTCAGCATGGGAAGAACGTCACATCTTGTGATGATGTATTCCATGGACAGAGCTCTTCTCTCAGTGTAGCATTACACTTTGACAACCAAGTCCCATTTACTGTCTAAATTATAAGTTTTACACCAGACAGTATCAATTACAGAGTTGTGCAGCAGAACTACATACATAATTAGAAATATAAAGCAGCAGAACAAGAGTAGGGCCCTCAGCTTAGAGAATTACTAACTCCTACAGCACCATTAACCTCAGGTGGAGCTGTGGGTGTCTAACATCACATCTGAAAACTATGGCCATGAGCTCAGTCTGGTGTCGAGTTGTGGTTCAGTGTTCTTGGTCATTTCTTTCCACTTTCTCCTCACACTTTATCACAGCCCATAGAAGCCACTGCGGTAGGTGTTGTAGCGACGGTAAGGCCGGCTGTACCCACTGACCAGGCCTGGATAGCCAAAGCTCCCTAATCCCAAGGAGCTGCCAGAGGAGATGGGCACTCCCTCAGCACTGAGAGCACTGCCAGCAGCTGCAGATGCTTAGGATCCCACAGTGGTGTTCTGGGGGAAGGAGCTGAGGATGGGTCCAGGCAGGGTCACCACCACAGGAGAGGGCTGGATCACCACGCGGGAGTCCTGGCACTGCCTGACACAGGGTTCATTGCAGCTGTTTGCCAGTGGAGTTGGCCCACAGGAGGCGGAAGAACACCGCTCATAGTAGGACATGTCTGCGGGATGGAGGCAAGTCTGAAATACAGGACCAGAAATGAATGCAGTGTAGTAATCATACTACACTTACATTTACTCAGCTCAGGACAATAGAAGTTTTCCAAGGATCCTTTCAGGAATTGAGTGGGGTGTCACTTGAGAAGGGAAGAAAATTCTTAAATATGCTACATGAAGATGGAGGCTGAAGTAATTCCCTCTCAGTTGTTGGTGTTCCAGTGGAATAGGTGGCAGCAGAACAAAAGGTCACGTACCTCTATCATTACTTTCAGTATTTTGATTGGCTGTATGTCTGGAAGGACACTACTGAGATCCAGCTCTGGGTATTCAGAGGATTGTAGTAGTAGTAATTATGAGTAATACCTAGCTACAAATGTACTTCTGGATAGAGTTCAGTAGACAGCTGGAAAATTAAACGAATAATTTTCCAGGTTCCAACTTTGCCTACAAAGAGGTATGAATTTCAGTATAGTTAAGGATACTTGAAGCTGATCTCTTTGGAAATCTTTCCCAGATAATTTGTCCTCAGTGGACAAGTTCTCAATCCTATGAGAAAGCCAGGATTTAGAAGCATAGAATGGTGAGGATTGGAAAGGACTTTACTATCATCTAATCCCAAACCCCTGCCATGGGCAGGGATGCCTCACACTAGACAGAGCCCTGGGTGACAACAACCTGGCCTTGAACAAAATATTCCCTGAACAAAATATTCCTTGAACAAAATATTCCCTGAATACTCACTGTGTCTGGTTCCAACACACCACTAAGAACAAAGTTTGCTGTTTCTTATATCCATCTCAGTTTGTTGTGTGCTGAGGTCTCCTTTATTTTTGCTATTGTTTTCCTTTGTTCTCACAGTTCCTGAAACTAATTCTCTAAACTTGCAGAAGATGTCATTGCTCCCTATAACATAATTTCAAACCTTGGCTCCTATAAGACACCAAACAGAGCTTTCTGATTATGTCTATCAGATTGAAGTCCATGTTGATTACTACAGCAGAAGGTTGAGGGTATGTGATTAGAGTCGATATTATTGCTGAATTCATTATGGCTATTCCTTCTAATCTCAATATGCAGCTCCATTTTATCTTCATTTAGAAAGTGGTACTTAGAGCTCAAAAGTTTGTCGTTCCATGTAATTGATTTTTAAAACCCACAGACCTCTGCTTTGAACCTTCCTAGTTCCTCTGCTCAACGGCTGTTTTTTTTAGTATATGTATCATTTTGCCTTCTTGTTTCCTACTGTGCCCAGTAATAAGTTCATCATAATAAAAATGGGTAACACTGAAAAGCTTCTATGGAATAAACAGCAAAGAAAAGGATTTTTCCAGATGACATTTCTGAAGATAAATGCACCCACATACTTCACAAATGCAGTTGTTTTTATATCAACTCAGCTGAAATTTCAGGCATTGCAGATGATGGATAAGACCCTTAAAGATATAAAAAGCACATTGCTACTTGAAAGATGACTGAGCCCAGAGATCTCTGTAATCACATAATGGTTTGAGTTGGAAGGGACCTTTAAAGATCACCTTGTTCCAACCCTGTTGCACAGGTAGACTACCCATTCAGTTTGTTAATCTTTATTAATATTATTATTATTAGGATATGGTAAATAACTTAGCATGTCTGAAAGCCTATATCTGAATAAACTTATATCACCTTTTCAAGGATCTATATGGCAAAGTTGGGAGTCCAGAAATACCTGCATTTCCAAGAACAAAAACCAACGTTTTAAAGAGAAAAAGTCCTTCCTCAACCAATCCAGTAACTAGCAGCATACTGTGGTGAAATAAGAACAGCAAACAAATTGTTATGAAGGCAAGAATTCAGAAAACAGAAAGAAGAAGATTTGAACTAACCTTGTTCACAAAAGAGGAAAAGGTAAGAGAAGTGTTAGGAAGGACCTTGAGTTGAGTTTGCTTTTATAGTGCATCTTGGATGGCCTCAGGAGCACAGACATCCTTTGTGCATGAAATTATTTACTAACAAGTATGTCTTGAATGCAAAGTGCTTCCAACTGATTAAATTTTCTTTTATGAAAAGAACCTGCATCTCTACTCTGTACCATCTCAGACCACATATATGAATAGCATGGCACAAGTCACCTTGAGGACACATACGAATTTTAAACTATTTTGAGGTATTATCCCCCACATAGAGGAAAAATACTCAACACAATACATAAGGACTTCTTGGCCGCTGTACTTTTTCCCTTGCGATAGGCTGAAGTACAATAGTAATTACACTGCAGACTGATGGAATTCCATTGCATAAGTGGAATATATATATACGCTAAATGGTGCTTAACTTTACTTTGCAATCTCTTCTGTACAAGCAGCAGGGTTTGAACCTCTTGTGAGCTGCAGGGTTTGAACCTCCTTGTTGAGCAATCCTTCACAATCACTCCATGATGTCATGCTATCTGAAGATGGACAATTCCAGGACATTGCTTTCCTTTTTCTATTAAATCAGCAAGCATAGGCTAAGGGCCTTATGGCAGAGACTAGTTCTCCAAGCTTTTTCATTCACCAGCAGCACAAATGTACCTTTCGGGACATGTTGTTGTTGGGTAAAGGCCACTTAACTGGTTACTTTATTCTCCTGAAATTCATTTCTGTACTTTCTATGCTACAGGTCCATTTGCATCATAGAAAGACGCCTTCCTGCCACCAAGAATGAAGCCATACTTTGATGTACATCAGAGAGTAATCAGTGACTCCTCGGAGGTCTGAGTAAATAACTAATTACTTCAATTGCACCAGTTCTGTCAACAGGGCACCAAATACATGTGTATGTATTCCAGTCGCTTCAATTATTTATATGGAAAACACACTCATAAAACTCCATTTTTAAGCAGAGACTCTATTCAATCTAGGACCTATTGATTTCCCATCTTTCATAGTTTGTTTTTGCTGCCTCAAGCCACAGCCTAAAAGGGAACATATGCCATATTATCTCTAAACCATTTCCCCCCCTCTAATTTTGTAACTTTGCAAGTAAGTAATTCTTAAGCAAAGAAAACTTATAAGCTTAAAAAATTTGGAAAATTATAAACCTATCTCTTTTCTCCTAGCATATGAATATTTGGTCTGGTTCCAGGAGTGAACCTGAATGCCAGTTGTCTTCCCTCTGTTCCTTCACTGTCTCTATCAGCACTACAATATTTCAATTTTGAAATAGATATTAGTGGGCTTTAAAGGAGAAAACCTTGAATGAAGTGCACAGTCATCAAAATTACACAACTCTCATTCATGTTGCTTTTCTGTGATATGTCCTGTCAGACCCTGCATTATCCTGCATAGCAGGAGAACAAACGCACTGATATGGTCAAAAACTTGGATAAATTTCTCAGAAACTTATGTACCTACAGACAAGCTACTCCTTATTCTTCTTTGGCGTCTCTTAGCTGTACACAATGCTGTGAGTTTTAACAACTTTGAGAAAACCCCTAGATGGTAAGAGGAACAATTTGGTTTTAATGTTATGGGAAATACTTTGGCCATTTATCTACTTCTTCACTCATTTTTCCTCTTGTGTGGATTAGCTAAGCAACTAGATTTCATGGATTGTGCTTAATGTTTGAAAGAGAGGATATCAAAGCCCATCATAAACTTTTATTAATGCTACAATAGTTTTATGATTCTGCTGAGATTTGAACACTCACTTCCTCTTTGAAGCCCCAAGTAAAATCACTCATGGAATGTCATGGTTAAAGCTTCAGAGGCTGGTAGTATTCAATCTAATCAAAACCAGATACTCAAATACTACTTCTGAATTATGGAGTTTCATATTCTAAGAGTTTCACAGATGCCAAATAAATGATAAGATCAGAAAGTTCCCAACCTAAAGAGCACAATTTTACTCTTAAGCATAAATGTGGAAAAAAATTTGGGGAAAAAAATAGCAAGAGAAATATACACGTAAAAATGTTCAGTGTTCCACAAGAGTCTAAAAAATGAAATTCTTTTTATCAGGTTGATTGTGGTGACTATTCAATTCACATTTTCCACTGAGAAGGTACTCTGGAGAGATTTGCCATAAGGCATATTCCATCCCAAGGGGATAAAAAAAGAAGGAGAAGAAAACCATAATGAAACTTATATTCAGATGCAAAATGAGTTTAATCATGAAAAAGTCAAGCAGCATTCAGCAAAACAAAAGGAATATATATATTTATAAAAGAGAAAAAAGCCATTTAACCCATTGCAACTGAAAGACAGCAAGATAGACTCCACTGTTCCTTAATTCCTGAATAAAACCCCTCCACTGATCATTTTAAAGTACAGCATTATACCAAGACAACATGAAACTCAAAATCACAGAGGCATGGAAAGTCATCAAAAGCAGGAATTTCAAGAACAAGACGTATGTTAGCCAAGTGCGCAGACAGCACCTTGCTTCTCTCTCTCCTTTTCAGGGAGGGAGGGGAGCACTGAACTCATCTATCACTTCTGGCCAGCAGCTCTATCCTCAGTCCGACACCTGGCTTTGGGCTTCCTGATTGATGGACATCCATCCTGGCTTTAGCAGGGCAGGCTCCTTCTGCCACAGTAGCGGCCACCAAGGCCAGAGAGGCTGAAGCCCCCGGAGTTGATGGGCCCTCCCTCCTCGCTCAGGATGTTGCCAACAGCAGCAGATGCTGAGGATCCCACGGCGGTGTTCTGGGGGAAGGAGCTGAGGATGGGTCCAGGCAGGGTCACCACCACGGGAGAGGGCTGGATCACCACGCGGGAGTCCTGGCACTGCCTGACACAGGGCTCGTTGCAGCTGTTGGCCAGTGGGGTTGGCCCACAGGGACGGCACAGGTCATAGCAGGACATGGCTCTGGGATGGAGGTGGACCTGGGAGAGAGGGCAGTGAAAGCACATTCAGTGTTAGAGTGACAACCTGCTTGGCAAGAGCAAAGGCACAGGCTGGAGATCTGGGACAACCTGTGTAGGGTGGCAAAGAGCCTCAGTAGGGAGGAAGAGAGCTTCAGGAACTGCAGTTCCCAAGGAGGAACAGAAAAAGTGTAAGACCTTCTTCCACCTCCCTCAAGTGAAGAACAAGAGGAAGAAACACAGAGAACAGTATCAAGGAGAAAGACTCACAGCAAAAACTACCAAAAGGCTAAGGCACAGTCAACGCCAAAAGAGAAAGAGGAGAGCAAGATAGGAGGATAAGACACTTGCAGCTCACCTTGACCACCAAGGAAGAGAAGGCAAGAGAAGTGGATGAGGGAGCCTGCTCTCGGGCTGAGTTTTATACTGGCCCAGACTGCTCCAGGCCTAGAGACACCCTTTGCTCATGTAAAGTGTTTACCAACAAGCTCATCTTGCATGCAAAGCACCACAATTAAAGAAATGAGGACAGTGCTTACATTTCTTGCAACACAGCCTTTTCATTTCCCTGTTAGTGATGTACCCGTTCAGCAACAAGCCTCCTTTCAAATGACAATATTAGAGGCCAAAATTATTACATGAAGCATGACACAGAAGTATAAGAATAATTCTATTGCACAGTACCTGAGCAAGGAAAATACACAGACAGTGGATGGGTGCAGTGACCCATCCCTGGACCAAAGGCCAGGTCAACCATCAAGCTCCTGGTGAAGCAGAAATGACATCAGGCAACATAGTC